TGATTTCTTCCTTGATCTCATTGTTGATCCATTCACTATTTAATAACATGTTATTTAGCTTCCATGTCTTTCAATGTTCTTCTTGTGATTGACTTCTAGTTTCATAGCATTGTGGTCAGACAAAATGCTTGATATGATTTAAACCTTCTTGAATTTATTGAGACTTGTTTTGTGTTCCAACATGTGGTCTATCCTAGAAAATGTTCCAAGTGCTCTTGAAAAGTATGTATATTCTGATGCTTTGGGATGAAATGCTCTGAAGACATCAATTAAATCCATTTGATGTAGTGTGTCATTTAAGGGTGCTGACTCCTTGTTGATTTTCTGTCTGGAAGATCTATCCGTTGAAGTCAAGGTGGTGTTAAAATCATGGACTATGACTGTATTTCTGCTGAGCTCTCCCTTTATGTCCATCTAAATTTTCTTCACATAACTTCCAGCCAAGATGGAGGCATAGCTAGATACACATTGCCTCCTTGTACAACTAAAAAGAAGGACAACAAATTTAAGAACAAAAAACAACAACCAGGACTGCCAGAACATTGAACTATATGGAAGTCTGACATCCAAAGAGTTAAAGAAGAAACATTCATTCAGACTGATAGAGGGGCAGAAATGGGCAGCTGGGGTGGAGAGGACATGCAGCAGGGTGGCAAGTGGAGGACCTGGGCAAGTGAGGTGGTAGCTGGTGGAGCAGGTGGACCCACATTTGCATGCAGATAATGTTTGACATTAAAGTGACATAAGGCCTCTAATGAAAAATTACAGTTTGTCCAAATTCAGGTTCCATATTTGAGACATCTGATATGGGAACCAGAATTACACCTGAATACAGATAGGCTCCATGGTGTCCTAACTTTCCTAAAGCCCCAAACTAAACATCAATTGTGATAATTTCTTGGGCTAGCTGGCTATTGCTGAAATTGGATCCCAAATCTCTCTGCTATGGCAAAACCTCTGTATGTTTTACTAAGGAATGATACTCCTGACACAATATTTGGGAAGAATGGAATACCATAGCCTTTAAAGCCTTAAAGGAGAGTTTAATAAACTCACCTGCCCTTAGACATCCCAATGATCAGATTCCCTTTTTCCTTTAGTATATGGAAAGGAAAGGAATGCCCCATCACTGGACTGAAGCTTTCCATTGTAGACAAACTTCTTCTGTGGTTAAAGTTCCTACCTGAGGAACTCTGCTCAAAGTCCATAGTGATCTTGGGGCCTATCTTACTGGTCAGATGCTTCAATGAGTCTGTGCTGTTTGGCCAGTTTTACATTTTCACTGCATTTATCACCCTCGATCCTTGTCTTTACTCAAATGTACTAACAGCATTATTAGGATTCATTTGACCCTGGCTGATGTAACTCAGTGGATTGGGCATGGGCCTGCGAATCAAAGGATTGTGGTTTGATTCCCAGTCAGGGCACATGCCTGAGTTGCAGGCCAATTCCTGTCAGGGGACGCACGAGAGGCAACCATACATTGATATTTCTCTCCCTCTCTCCTTCCCTTCCCCTCTAAAGATAAATAAATAAAATCTTAAAAAAAGATTCATTTGGCAAGATATGTAGAAACCCTCCAAATACTCTGGCCAAATGCATTGCCATTGGTTCTTTTAAAACTCAGATCTTCTGTCTTTGGAGCTCATAAAGTCTCACCTTTTGAGGTAATTACAGGATGCCTGATGTATCTGGCTCCTGCTGCTTTCTTTTTTTTTTTAATTTTAATTTAATTTTATTTTATTTATTTATTTTTTGAGAGAGGGGAAGGGAAGGAGAAAGAGTGGGAGAGATATCAATGTATGGTTGCCTCTTATGTGTCCCCTGCTGGGAACTGGCCTGCAACCCAGGCATGTGCCCTGACTGGGAATTGAACCGCGATACTCTGGTTCACAGGCCCGCACTCAATCCACTGAGCTACGCCAGCCAGGGCTGGCTCCTGCTGCTCAATCTACAGTTGAAAAAGGGAGACACACTTCAATATTTTTAATGCCTAATTGATTCTATTGAAAATCATCATGCTTTTGTCGAGCAATCTTTTCACAGTGCCCTCCAAGGATATGAAAACCCCAAACACCATTCTCTGCAACCTGGAGCTTTTGTTTACTGGAAGAGATACCTCCAAAATACTCCATCCAACCTTGCTGGAAGGGCCTTTTTTTTCATTTTTTAAAATTTAATTATTGTTCAAGTACAGTTTTCTGTCTTTTACTCCCATCCCAGCCCACCACCCCCCCCAGTGCTCCCCACCTTCCTCCCATTTCCACCCCCCTTAGTTGTTGTCCACGTGTCCTTTATTCTAGTTCCTGTAAACCCTTCACCTTTTTCCCCTGAAATTCCCTCCCCTCTCCCCTCTGGTCACTGTCCCCCTGTTCTCGATTTCAGTGTCTTTGTTTTTATTCTGCTTGCTTGTTTGTCTTATTGTTTAGGTTCCTGTTAAAGGTGAGATCATATGGTATTTTTCTTTCAACCCCTGGCTTATTTCACTCAGCATAATGCTTTCCAGTTCCATCCATGCTGTTGCAAAGGGTAGGAGCTCCTTCTTTCTTTCTGCTGCATAGAATTCCATTGTGTATATGTACCATAATTCCTCACAGGCTATTCCAAAAAATCCAAGAAGAAGGAAGACTCCCAAACTCTTTTTATGAAGCCAGCATCATCCTAATCCCAAAACCAGATAAAGATACAACAAAAAATGGAAGGGCCTTTATCAGGTACTATTGACTAACTCTGTGCTCCTAAACTCCAGGGAGTAGACTTGATACAAGTGCCAAATCTAAAGAAGGCACCAAACCCTGACTAGAACTATACACAATCTGGTGACCTGAAACTAAAGCTGTCAAAAATTAAAGTATGCAATCTCTGAAGAGACAACTTTCCCAAAATTACTAGGCCAGGCATGTACAACTGCCAGTAGTCATGGAGCACCAGGATCCTAGCAAGAGGGTCTTTTCCAGGGATATGAGACATGGGACATGGTACAGGAGACTAATGGGAACATGGACTCACCGGATAAGAGCTTTTTTTTCCAGGTAGAAGGCTGTGCCATTTCCCATGATAATTCTGTCCCTTTGACACTCACTTTTCTAGTATAAGCTCTGAATTTTGCCAGGAAGCCTCCATGGGAAGTGGCCCTGCAACTAAAGTACCCTTGCCTAGAATCAGTTCCATGTCTGCCACGTGGCCCAGTAGCTTCATACTCAAGCCTCAGCTGCCAGAGCATCAGGAAAGGAGGCTGCAGTGTGGTGGACTTCCTAGTGCCAAACAAGTAGAATCCAGTGACCCCCACCCCAACATACACAGACAAACTCACAACATCCCAGGATACTGTGCTTGCTCTAAGTTTTTGACTCCTGGCAATTTCGACATACTTGTTCATCTGAACTCTCTTATACATACTATTCTTTATTAGTATATTTAGAGTCTTCCCCAAAGACAATAGTGTGATTAATCTGTCATACTCTGTTTGGAGTATGGTATTTTGTTATGTCTTATTAAGAAATATTATCCTGATTGCTATTGGCTTGTGAAATTCCCACAGCATATTTGTGCTAAGTGAATTGCTGGGATTCTAGAAGAGTTTTGGGGTTAGCAAAGAGTCACTGCCCAAGCCAGAACTTTCTAATAGTACTCACAAATTCTCAGTATTTATAGTATAAATGTCCTGTAGCTGCTCCACATGTTCTTACTGATGCGCCCCAGCAAGGCCCCTCAGCTGCTGGGGCTGCTAACTGCTCAACAACAGATGTAGTGGCATAACTTATTTCATGCTATAATAAAGTAACATTTTTCTTTGTCATAAACAAGTGGATTAAAGCCACTTAAGTCATAAACAAGTGAGTTAGAAATCATGTTAAACCTATACACAACAATATGGACAATTTTTGACCAAATGGTTCAATACTAGGTTTGGAGACACTGGTACACTCCAGTTCTTTGAAAAATAACTCATCCAGAGGACAACGCTAAACATTACAGGAGATGTAAGATAAAGAAAGGTCCCTGTTTCCGAGGAAAGCATAATGTAGTATAAATAAGCACAGGATATGACAAGAGACCTAATTCTTGTCTAAAACCTGTCGCTGGTCATGTCGTACATCTCGTATACATTCTTTACATGCCAAAGAGGAATATAAATGGAAACTATATTACGAGAGTAAAGCCTGCCTAATAAGGATGTGCCAATGAATCAGAAAAGAGTTTTTAAAACATCAGGGACAGTGGTTCCCTAACCTAGCCAGGGACCGAACCAGGACCAAACTGCCTTTACTCAGGGAGGCTCAGGACAAGCCTAGTGAGGTGAGGTTGCCTGCAGAAAGGGCCGCTGGCTGCCGGAAATTGACGCAGGAATAATCTGAACAAGCAACTCTTTGCTTAAGTCGGGGATAAGAGATCGAGATCCTAGCACCTGTTGTCAGTTGGCTACATCATTCGCTCTCAGGTGAATACATCACTCTCAGGCAAACAGTGGCTCTCAGGGCTCCTCTGAGCCTCCAGCAGGCTGGAGACTCGATGGCATTAACTGTTTTTTGCATCATGGGCTGAACTGGAGCAGAAGGCCAGTTTGTCCCGGATGGAAAGGACCCGCAGGATGGTTCCCGGCAGGTTAGGCTGAAACTGCGCTGGCGGAGAAAGGAGATAGATGGCTGGGCGTGGCTGTCACAAAACCACCGGAAGCAAATGTCCTTTTTCCGGTTGGGGCCGGTCCACAGTCCGCGACCCCAAAATGGCGAATTACGGTACATTCTCTCGGAGATAGAGAATCGAGTGGGTGACTGATCTTCCAAGGTCCCTCCCAAGCGCTCCCAAGTCTTGGTGCTTCACTCGCCAGACATCACATGTTCCGGACACCGTCTCCGTAGCGCACCAAGCTCTTTCTCCACGGAATAGCCCAGAGGCGTGGCTATTTCAAAGTCTAGCAAGGAAGAGGGAAGTGGCGTTCACGGAGGCCAGAGCTGCGTGAAGGTAATCGAGAACCCCGATTTTCCCTTTGTATTCAGTATGGAGAGCCTGAGAGATGCCAGCCGCACGTGCTACTTGCAGCCTGCAAGGTGGTGGGAGCGTGGGGTAACCGGGGAAGCAGCCTTCCCAGTTCGCGGTGGCATCATTTCCAGGCGGCAGCAGTTAGCCTGAGAGCAGGCGGGACCTTTTCTCAGCAAATCCGGTATTCAGGCTCTTATTTTAACATCTAACATCCAGAAGAAATTTCTTTGTACTTAATGTGCAAATATCACCCAGGGATGCTGCTGAAGCACACTCAGAGGCTGACCGCGTGCAAAGGACTTAAGGTCAACCTTGTGGTCGATCCAGAAGGTGTTGCGAATTTGTGGCGGGGGACTGGCCAATGATGTTTTCCACTGCACCCAGCGAAATTTTCCAGTTTCCGCTGACTTAAATCATTGGAGGAAGGTGTATTACAGCTTTTGCTGATATAAAAATACAGGCGGTTTCCCTGTACTTCCTGAGCCTTAGTAAGCACCAAAGAACCAACCATTTCTTTGAATACCAGTAGCATCCTCGAAAGAAATTTGTTGCTCTTTTTGCTGCACACCTCAGGGAAAATCAGACTTTCAAGGGTATCCTCAGCCTTGCTTAAAGATCTGTTATGACCATGAGGAAATGTGGAGTCAGGGGAAGGGGTACCTTTACTAGACTCCTCTTGTCTCAAGAATTTTAACCATCACCTTTTCTTTCCTTTTTTTACAATCTGCCATTTGTGTATCTCATAAACAGGTGTAAGTTTTTTCTGTAAAGTAAGCAAGAAATTTAATACACAGGTATGAATTTTCACAGCACCTTTTATAAGTCATCTCCAAAAGTATAAAAAAAAGTGTTATGGACATCTGATTGCTTTGTCAAGGGATATTTGCTCTAAGGAATAAGGTTACTTTTCCCCTGATTACTTCTTTTCTGATCTTCCTCTCTCAGCTCTCCTTCCAGTGTTAATGCAATGGAAAGGAAACTATTGAATGTTCTGTGAAGTAAAGGTTTCAGTCTTCATAAGAGAATGAAAGGGCATAGAAATTATTTTCCACCTGACTAAAGACAAAAGATTGGGATGATCTGTAAAAATTTATAGAAATTCAAATATGCCCTATTTGTGAAGATGGGACAGGAAGCACACAGGTTAAGTATTGGATAGTCTCAAAGCTCTTTTAGCAAATGAGTGCCAGGTTTGTTTTTTTTTTTACCTACCAATTTTTCCAAAATGTTTTAGCAAAAAATTATCAGTCGACATCTGTATTCTCCGAGGTGTGCTTTGTTTCAAAGTTGAATAACATAAAAGGAGAGAAATATATGTTCTGAAGTAACATGTCATCATGCATGCTCTAATACTTGTCAGTTGATACTAAGGAGGAAGGAGAACAAGAACTCTTCTGTTCATTCTTCTCTGGTAATTATAAGTAGCAAGTAAATATGTGTGTCATGTGGCTTTGATCTTGACATGTACTTTTTCTTTCCTTCCCTCAGTGCCCTTGGGGAGAGGATCCATTCAAGGCCTCAGTTGTCAAAGGTGGCACCAGGAAGATGTCACACATAGGAGAAGAACTGTTCCTAGAACAAATTATGATGAGACATCTGAAGGTGAATGAATGCTTATACCCACATGTGGAGGCTTTGTGGGAGACTAAAGGGTCTGTTAGAGAGATCTCTGGTCAGAATAAGAAATCCAGCCCACAGGTGAACAGTTTTGGTCATGAGAGTGCTCGCCAGCACTTCCGGAGCTTTTGTTACCATGAAGCAGCTGGACCGTTTGAGGCTGCCAGCCAACTTCAGGAATTATGCCATCAGTGGCTAAAGCCAGAGATCTACTCAAAAGAGCAAATCTTGGAACTACTGGTGGTAGAGCAGTTCCTGACCATTTTGCCCAGGGATACCCAGAACTGGGTGCAGAAGTATCATCCGCAGAGCATCAGAGAGGCTGTGGCCCTAGTGGAACGTTTTCAGAGAGAACCTGGTGGAATAAGTAATGAGGTAAGAAAAAAATTCCTTGCATGTACAATTAAATAGGGTAAATGTAGATGTCTTTGGGGGTAGTTAATCAAGGAATGAGATGGGTTAGGTCACTCTTCCCTGGTTCCTTTAGGACAATTAGATGGGATCTGAAATCACAGATATGCAGCGATAGTCTATACAGGTTTCATAGCTCCTGGAAATCTTTCCTGGCCTTAGAAAAAAGAAATACATTTCACCCATTTTAGGGCCAGTGCACATTAAGGGTGGTGGGCCTAGTCTGGCATGGCCAAGGATACAGGACTTGATTTTTTAGAAACAGAGTAATAAAAGGCAAGAAAGATTCGGGAAAGGAGGAAAAATCTGGGAAAAAATAGACAGCACTTAGAGATCAAGGGAGAGAGAGGGTAGCAAACAGAAGTATAAAGCAAACAGCTGTGGGGAGACTGCATAGGAGGAGAAGAAATAGAAAAAGTGGGAAACAAAGATATGGAAAGAAGAAAATGCCAACAGAAGTAAAGAGAATGAAGATGCTGAGGGGTAGAGCTTTCAGTAGTGTGAATCTCTGGGCTAGGAAAAGAGCCTCCATTGCCCTCCCTTAATGGTCCTGTCCTTGTCTTTGCTGGTTAATGGGGAACCAAATAATGGGGAGATGGCAGCACACTTCCTTTCCTCTGGAACCCACCTTGAGGAACATAGGGCTGGACATATTTTTGTGTTTTACTACAACTGAATTGTGTGGAGGGAGGTTAGAGCTCAGCTTTCCCCAGTTTTTTCCCTATTGCATCCCCATTCTTCTTGAAACCCTTCCCCAGCCATGAGGTGATTAGAAAATTTGTCACAGAGGAAAAACTTTTTATTCAATGCCTTATTTTTTATAGAAAACTAAAAGATAGAAATGTACTTAGGCAAGGGTCTAAGTCAAGGAAACAAGCCAGTAAGGCAGTATGAGAACAGGCAGCCTTCCCCCATTCTGCTAGTAGCCTGAGCTCTGACTGTATGTGGAGAGGTGAAGCTTGGCAGCAGTCACAGTGTTTCATTTTATCCTAATTTTCCCAGGTGATGTAATTCTTTTGTGAGAAAAGGGTAGCCCAATACCTTTCAGTTTTTTTATTACTTATTTTAATGTCACACACTCCCCAAATCTGGATTGTAGTCTTGGATTCTATTCTTGTTCATCCCTCCACCATCACCCTTAAACCACAAGTAAGTTCTGTGCTAATGAGGATGGGGATTATTTCTAGGTCACAGCCCATGACCTCGGAAAGGAGACAGTGCTCTTGGGAGGAACACCAGTGATACCAGGCTTTAAGTGGAAGCCAGCAGAGCCCCAAGCAATGGGTATGTTCCAGAAAGAATGTTGGAATACATTTCAAATACTACAAGAACAGCTGGGCTGGAAAACTCACAAAGAAACCCAATCCGTATATGAAAGAGGTGAGGAGCTTCATAATCTCTTCTTGGAGCTATGATAGTAATTGCTTCAGTTAGCGTATAATAGGAATATTCTAGGTGCCCAACCATGGTAGCAGTTAGGATGTCTCTCAGGTGCGAGTACTATAGGTCAATGGTGGGTGAAGGTGCGGGTCAGTCTGGGGTACAGAAATATCCAAACCACAGAATTCTGGTATTCACATCATGGACCTTGCTCCTTAGAAATTTGAGAGAATAAGGTGGAACAGGGATAGGAGGATAAACTGGATCAGAAAATGGGCTGTTACTGGCAAAGTAGGAAGAGAATTTTGCACCAGGAAAAATTAAAAAGCAAAAGAGTCTCACATTTCCTGCTATATACTGGAGGGCTTGAGTCCTTCCTTTTCAAACACCTTTAATCTTGCCCAGGAAAAAATAGTGGTTTTTCTTTTATTAATTTCTTATGGAATCTGGGGAAACAGTCAACTGGGGAACCAGTTTGATGGAGTGGTGGATATTTAGTTTTTACTTACCAAGAGAGGGACACTTTGTGTATTACACATAGTTGTGAAGGTGAACCATCTTTACTTAAGGAATCCTGACATTTTATATTTTAGAAATCAGCTCAGGATATTCATAAACAGAAAAGAGAAATTTTCTGGCTCTTTTCCACCCACAGCTGTGCCTACTCAACAGATTCTAGCATTTTCTGAGCAGAAAAGCACCCAAAACTGGAAGATGGCATCTGAGCTCATCTTGCCTGAATCCCAGGTGAGCTGTACATTCCAGATTTTTCAGGGAGCCTGAATATGATCTTATTTCTGCTTTTCTCTGCTACCTAAGACCCACAGTGCCCAGTAGGTGTCTGAGCCAAGTTTGCCACAGATGTCCTCTAGGCAACTACACTTGGCACAGTAGGAATTGGGCACCTCCCATGCTTGTTTACTGATCTCTTTGCTGCCTTTCTTTTCTTCTATTCATTTTTCCCCTAAATTTTATTAGGGGAAAAATAACTTAACTTCACTTAACTTTCACTTAACTTCAGTGACTGCCCTACCATGTAATTCAGAAATGGGTGATAGTATGGCTTTTGTAGTGGCAAGTACTACTTAAAACCCATTCTCTTCTTTAGAGTTTGTTGACATTTGAAGATGTGATCGTGTCTTTTTCTGAGGAAGAATGGGAATTACTGGACCCTTCTCAGAAGATTCTCTACCATAATGTCATGCAGGAAAACTATGAGACCGTCATCTCTCTAGGTAAAGATTCTTCTTTTCCTTTGTGTAGAAGTTGGATAATCAGTTATGTCCTCAGTTGATGGAAAATGCTCTTCTGTGAGAGAGTCCCTGTGTTCCAGTAGCTAGTTGGTTCTCAACCTGATGATGTGGGGAAAAAGAAAAGCATATCTAGATCACCTAGAGCCAGAATTTTCAACCTTTTCATCTCATGGCACATATAAACTAATTACTAAAATTCTGTGGCACACCAAAAAATATATTTTTGCCAATCTGACAAAAATAGGTATAATTTTTATTCATTCTCAATAGTTAGCTATTGTTGTGTTACTTATTGACATTTTTAAAAGATTTTTTAACATTTGTTTATTTACTTATTTTTAGAGGAAAAGGGAAGGAGAGAGGGAGAGAAATATCATTGTGTGGTTGCCTCTCGTGCATCCCCTGCTGGGAACTGGCCTGCAACCCAGGCATGTGCCCTGACTGGGAATCGAATCATGATCCCTTGGTTCGCAGGCCCATGCTCAATCC